TTGCATTCATTTCATGGTAAAATATATATTTTTAGTCTGCTTTTGAGCTGGTCGATCTATCAAAGGTGTAATTAGTGCCCTTTGTCGAATAAAACTTGTTTCTCCGCGTGGCAATATTTTAAATGAGCTATGCCTAAGTAAGGCTTTGTGCTTATAAGGGTTTAATGACATGAAGCACCCATCAACATGAACGTGCGTCGTTATGTATGGCTCAATGTAAAATGGAAAAGGATCCTCCTATTGCATGCGTCATTCATAGAATTTAAACCTTCAACCCGGCATACTAGAAACGTTTTGCTGGATATCATTGAAGATATCTGATTTTCATCTATTGCTTAGGCTTATTCTTTCCAGTCTCTGTTCTATTGAATGGCCTTTTAAGGATGGCAAGAAAATAAACACTGCAAGTTACAAAAATGTACAGGACGATGTGTTAGGGACTTTTTCGACAATCATTTTTTGCATAACATTCAAAATAATTCTGGATGACCCTAACCTAAAACTATAAATTCTTTACGTTAAGTTGAGTGGATTGCAACTCCATGACCTACTTAATTCTAAAACACAGTCCTCTAATTAATCTCCCAATCAGAAGGCGAGGAGCGCATGAGATGATTACAAATCACCATGTTGAAAAGTGATTTGCAGCACGATGTATTTGATTGCATTAATCTAGCTTGACCTAGCGTATTTGTGTACCGTTCCTGCGTAGCAGAGAGTCACAGCCCTGCATTTATTATGGGAGTCGAAAGGCTAGTGTAAGGTCAACGCAAAGAACACTGAGTTAGATGTGTCTGGTAATGGAAAAAATTGAGGTTTTGTCGTCCGCCTTCAGAACAACATTTACCTGACTACTTTGATCTAATGCATTAAAAATACTTGCAGCAGGAAACATGTCTAAGCTCGTTGAAAAACTATGAGTTTGCCCGCATAGGTAGGGCATCTTTGGTCATTTGAGCCGGAATGAAATTCGTTTTGATTTAGAACTATGAGGAGCTGTCCAGTAAGGCCATTTTACAAACGAACCATAGTCAACGTAAGATAGACTTTGGAAAGCCACGACCTTCTAACTGAAACCACAACGTAAACATATATTTTATAAGTAGATGGATGTTAAATGTTCGCTGTATAGAGTGACTTTACTTTTTGAATTCAACACTGATAATGCGTAGGCGTCATTTTGGTGGATACATATTCTTCGCTTCTTACTCCAATACAAGAAATGTTCTAGGCTTTTAGAAGGAAGGATTATCATAAGTTGGACTCACAAAATGCTTAAAAAATCAGGATCTTGTTTTCTCGGTGAAGTTTTAGAAAATACTGACAGTTTCTGCCGTGTAATAATTACCACTAAATTTTTAAGCTAAGTGTCCTCTTCTACAGAGTTATCCATTCCGTTTCTACGTACAGGCTATTTACTGTTATGTTTTAGACTCAGTGTTATTTTCATTGTTTGATTTATAAATGTAAGGCCAGATGGTGAGTCTAATTTTGATTGGCTCACGAGAAGCCATAAAAATATCGCTGATGACTTTTCTAAGCAATTCCTTTATGGCCATGGTTGCATTCCGTCTGCACCTCCGTCTGCCATAAAAAAATTGCATTTTATTGCAAGGAACAAATTAATTCTAGATTGGTTCAGATGACTGCCCTAAACCTGGCATTCCAGCATACTTTTGTCTTTGTTCAAATCCCGCTTGTTTTTTTTATCCGTTTGACCATCCGTTAAGGTAGGACATGGATATCACTTGGCAGTTCAGCTAAATTAATAAAATTTCGTTCGCCAACTGTTACCTGCAGTGATAGAAAGTTGTGAAAAATATTCGCCTAATTGGATATTCAAAAATACTTTCGCTTGTGGAATTAAAATTGAATTTAATTTATGCTGCAGTGAACATGTTTTGCAGTTTGACCAATAAGTCCATCTTAAACAAACGATTTCACGTGCATTAAAAATATTATTCAGTCACATAAATTTGTCCATTTTAAAGTAAAATATCAGCGAAAAAATATTTTCTGGTAGCATGGAGCCTTTGTTAAACGTTGTTGTAAATTCACAACTACTGATTTCAAGAGCAAACTGCTAATTGTCTGACTTTTGACGAGAGCATAGTTTTTTTTCATATAAAAAAACGTATATGCTGAAATAGCAAAATGATCTTGCTTCTCAGCATTCAGATTAACGAAAAGTTGTATGATCAGCAAGTTAAATTCAAATGTGCTGGTCACCGTTTACAGGCAATTTGAAGGATTTATTTCCACTAATGCTAAACAAGGGCATATTAAAAAATTGGCAAAATGTTTCCAGAACCACCATGAGCACTGTTATGAACCTTCTTACTTTATGCGATCATGTATTTGTTGAATTCTTTTGAAAATACATGTGCCTTATTCTGGGTCAGCCTAAAATAAACGTGCTCGTGAGCTGTGTGATTGTTGTTTATAAACAGAATAATTTATTACTTGGCAAATCTTCTACGGAAAGCAACAAGTCTTTGGTTAACACACTAAAAAACGGTCCCTCATTTCGCTGCATATCATGACTCATCTGAAGTAGGTAGACAAATTGTTGAAATATGTATGCAAAATGATTCATGTTTGCTAATTCTCTCCAGTTAAAAGTGGACAGCCTACTTGCAAGCCTGTCCGCTGAATCTTATCTGGTGATAAAAACGTATCTGAAACTTGCTCAAAATATTTATTAAGCCACCGTTTTCTAACTTAGATTTCTGTATTATATTTGTTCGACCTTTTAAATCATAATAGTTTTTTCGGTTATATATAAAATACGCTCATTCGTTATGGACGTGGTTAAAATACAGCAGGGTGTTTAACTCAATGATTGCAATTTAATTATACCATGTATCTAATAGAGATGTGCAATTATAAGTTCCAAACTATTTTATGGTAGCAAAATGCCATGGAAACTATTTATCTCAGCCTATTTATATCCTTATGGTCTTTAGAGTTTAAAGTAGTTCAGTATAGTTCAGTATATTTAGGGTAGTAGGCAATGCCTTTGAAGATTCTATTGAAAACAATATGCATGAAATATCCAACATAAAATATGTCACTATAAACCGTGAGTAATATATATATACATGTACAAATTTTAACGTGTGCGTGTGAGCAGTCAGAATAGTCTCATCCAACATAAAATGTGTTAATGTAAAATAGTGAGTAGCATATACAAATGTAAAGTTTTATCTATAGGTATTT